ACGTGGGGTAGAAAGGCTGGCGCCGGAGAGGAGCACCCAGTCGCCCCAACCCTGTCTCCATTCTGCACAGCCTCTCATCCCTTTCCTCGTCGCCTGGGCCAGCGAGGGGACCCTGAGGGCAGGGCCCAGAGGAAGCACCTGGCTGGGCCGGGCCGGGCCGGGAAGCGAAGGCTGGGCAGCAGCGCGGGGGGCCGGAGCAGGAAGCAGGGTCAGAATCTAGGGTCAGGCCGAGCCTCCCTCCCGGCCCCGCCGCCGCTCTCTCGTCCTAGCGCGCTCCTCGGCTCCCAAGAGGCGGTCACATTGCTGATAACCGCTTCCCGTGGCGCGCCAGCTGTGAGCAGCTGCGCCGTGCCGGCCCCAGTCACGCCGTCTCTCCGCAGCCCCGCCCGAGACCCCGCCCGAGACCCCGCCTGAGACCCCGCCCCTTGCGAGCGCTTTGGAAGCAGGCGAGACGGCGAGGCTAGAGAGCCCGATCCGGCCGAGACGCACGGCCGGAAGTGCCTTGATTCGGACAGAGCTGGTGCTGCAAACTTCCGGCCCAGGTCTCCTACCTCAAGCAAGTGCGCAGACCGCTTCGGAGCCCAGGCCAGCTTGATCAGGTGAGAGGCACGCAGGCGCGGTCCACGGCCCATCTGGTGGTGGCTGGACTCGGGGTCCAGGACGGGTCCTGGTCTGGGTGAAGAGTGTGCCGCCCGAGGCTCAGTCCCTCCTCTTTGCAGGATGATCACAGACGTGCAGCTCGCCATCTTCGCCAACATGCTGGGCGTGTCGCTCTTTCTGCTTGTGGTTCTCTATCACTACGTGGCCGTCAACAATCCCAAGTTTTTTTTGCTTTCTCTGCCCCAGGTAACGGTCCGGGGCTGTAGCGCCCAGCCCCCGAAGAGTGGAGTGGCGAGGCCGCGCCAGGGCCTGCAGGGTTCGAAACTTCAGATAAGACAGTGTCGGGCCAAGCATGATACAGTCCAGAACTGGGCCCCATTATCCGCTCAGAGAAGGGAGTGCCTCGCAGTATCCCTTGTCCCTCCCCTTTAAACTGTTACTTGCTAAAATGGGGGTGGATTTCCTAATCTCCCGGAACCCCCAACTTCATGTGGTCCCCAGATGTCCAATTTGAGGGTACAAGGAAGTATGACACCAGTAGGAATAAAGGTACCGAGGATACCATCCACGTATGAAGATTTGGGCAGTTCACGTAAATAGTCCTCACTTTTCCAAGGTTATTTAGGCTTTTATTTAGGCAGAGTTGTTTTGTGAGGGGCTGTAAAGGTACACAATTCTATTTCCATGTTCTGGGACAGAGGGCACTGATTTAGGGGTTGGCTGCTGTAGACCCAAATCATAGAGAAGAAGGGTGGTGGTGGTGAAGGGCTTGGAAACCAACTTTTTAAGTGTGGGTCAAAATGGAAAGGGGGAAGAGGCTGGATGAGAATTGATTCCTGAAGGACTTCCTCAGAGGAAAGCTGTGGCATTTTCCTTACCTCAGGTCTTTCCCCCTCTTTTCTAGGGTTCCAGGACATAGTCTGAGGCAAGATGGAGGGTGTGAGGGGCCTTCACACTTCACTTCATCCCTTCTACCCATCACAACATACAAAGCAACTACACCTGGATTTTTCCAAACAACTTTTATTTCCTCAAAGTCTTCTTTAACCCTATGGAACAAGAAGCTGCCACTGAATAGGGCCCAGTATAGGGGCTGCTTTCTTTTCTACTCCCTCCCCCCCAATATAAAAATATAGATTTTTTTTGTGGTCCCAAAATCTTGTGCCATGGAGGGAGGGAAGGGGTGGCATATTCCCTGCTTTGTCCTGTGTCAAGGCGATGCCCTGCGATGCCTCAGAACAGTGTGGCTGACATTCCAAGGAGTTATGGTTGTCACATGGAATCAGCAGCTGAGGGAAGGGACTAGCACGTTTCTCACTGTATTCCCCATCTTGTGGCTATATCCTGGGCATGAAGGTCAAGGCATCAAACCCGGGGAGAAACAGTGAGTGGGGGAGATTTAGGGACAAAACAAACCTCAGGTTGGCCCAAGGGCCCCCCGCTGTAACAAGTCCGGGACTGGGAGTCAGATAGACTACAGGAAATAGGAGAAAAGGCAGGGGCAGAGCGGGGCCGTGGGGGCCCGGCCTGAGGCAGCCTGCAACAGAGAAGGGAGAGGAATCAGTGTTGTGAAAACTCTGCCCCTCTTCTGGTCTGTTAGCCAGGGACTGGGAGATGAGGGAGGTGAGCTGCATAAGGATAGGCAGGTTGAGTAGTGCACAGTGGTCTGATGCTGGAAACAGCCAGATCCTAGGCCTTAGACCCTAACTAGAAATTGTTTTCTTATCCACTGGAGTGAAGACTGAGGCCATGATGGGGAAAAAAAATCAGGGACTAGATTCTTAATGAAAGTACATTTTAGTCTTTTTGGGGTCAGAGGGAGTAGGGAAGGAAGAAAATGATCCTGTATGGCAGAAATGGGAATGAGGGAATAGAAATGAGAGATGGGGCGCGGGACTGGACCCCGGTGCTCACCCTCGTGTAGAATGGGGTCCCAGCTCCAGCTCACTGCTCTCCCTGGTCCGGGGGATAGGGGATGTGGGGCCCGAAGAGCCTCTCATCCCTCTGCGAGTCGGCGGTGAGCCCTGGCCCAACCTGGGCCTAGCCTGTGTGGACAAGGGGTGGGCTAAGAAGCGGGTTCTTCTATGAACTTCTTTGCTTCTGGAGTTTCCATGAGTAAGAATATAGTTTAGTGGTCAGCACAGGCACTGGGACCTTGAATGTACTGTCCCTAGCTGAGAGAGTAAGGCAGTATAATAGCTGGAGACCTCTTGCATTCAATCTATGACGGTATACTCCAAGTCTTATTTAACTAGAGGAGGCAAAAGGATCCAGTAGTTAACCTCCATGGTTATACCGTGGCCAAGATCTGGCTGAGTAGAGAAGTACTGTGTAGAAAGAGGTTAGGGGATTGGTAGATCTTCCTCAGAGCCTTCTGTGCCTCAGCCCCTGCCAGAGCAGCTTAAGCTTCACTCAGCCAGTCACCTCCTATACCCAACTTTAGTCAACCTAGCATGGGGATCGGGACTGAATCAGAGTTGGTGGCACAGCTGTTCCTAGGAGCAGTAACCAGATGTGTTACCTGGGGAATCCGGGACCCCTCTTGGCGGGAACTCTCCTCGGGCAGGTCTGGGCAGAAAGAGAGGAGAAGCTAAGGGGAGGGGCAGGCAAAGCCAAAGCTAGCAGGCTGAGGCTGGGGTATATCTGGCAGGGACACAGGTTGAAAGCAAGCAAGAGACCTGGCTGAAGGGGATGGGGACACTGGACAGGCAGGCATTCGGACACCAGAGCAGCTCTCTGATACAGTTGCGGGGAGAGGTTGTAAAGCAGTGCCGGGCATTTTCCCTCCCATTACCCAGACGAACATTGCCTCGTTGGGCTCTGCCAGAGTGACGCTGGGGACGGGGAAGACCCAAAAATGTTACCTGTAGTCGGGTCTTGATACAGGGAATCCGAGGTCCAGTCCCTAGTAGACCTTTCCCAATCACCATGACAGCCTCTTTGTCCCCTGAGGACAGGAGTGAGCAGCTGCTCCCTAGGGAACAAAGGAAACTTATCAGGGTAGGAGCCATTGGCGTTGTTGACATTTTGGGCTGGGTAATTCTTTGTCATCTTGGGCCACTGTCGGATGTTTAGCAGCATCCCTCGCCTCTACTCATTAGCTGGCATTTCTTCCCTGCCCCCGCTCCATTTGTAGCAACCCAAAGTCTCCAAACATTGCCAAATGTCCGGGGGCTGCAGGGTGGTTGCTCCTGGTTGAGGAGCTTGACGTGTTCTAGTCTAGTCCAACGGGTGAAGCAGGAACTCAGAGCTTGAATCAGAACCATTCAAACTGAACTATTCTGTGAATTTGTAGACCTCAGAGCCTGTTCCAATCAAATGTGTAAGTGTTTAAAAGATCGAGTCAACAGTACCAAGACAGGTGGACTGAGGGCTACCCAGTGAAGAAGTTAACAGGTGAGGAGCAGTGGGCTCTGAGGGGGGTAGAAGATGCTGGACTGGAGTCTTAGAAATTGTTCCCATCCAGTGTTTTCCACAGCTGGGTCTGTAACTTAAAAGGAGAGCAGACGGCCAAGGTTTTATGTGGATGATATGGTCACATTTTCCTTCTTCAGTTTTGTCTAATGTCCAGCTCCTAGAGTCAGGGAACTTGAATATAGGAAAAGTCCTCAGGTTCCTCAGCTATAAAAGTGAGGATTAAATGAAATAATGTGCTTAGAGCAGTGCTTGCCACATGATAAATGCTCAGTAAATGGTAACTCTTGTTACCAAGATATTCATTAAATTCTATTTTCATGTACAAGGGCATGGGTGTTAGGGGTTTAGGATAATCCAGGAGGATAACCGATGCCCCTGGTTTGGAGTGACCTGTATTACATCAAGTCAAGAAGGAGGTCCAGATCAAGTGACAACGGAGCTGGAGGGATTTCTTCATGCCTAGTCAGGAGCCCAGTCTGTGCCCTGCATGGTAAGTCAGGAGAGGGGCTGGCCAACTCAGATTTCAGTGGCAGTGGGTACAGACCTGCTATGCCGAGTGAGTTGGACAGTAGGCAGGAGCCCATGTTGCGTGAGGAGACTAGACTAGAACTGGCAGGAGTTGGGAATGGGGCCAGGCTGCTTGAAATAGGGCGATGGGTCAGTGGCTGCTGCCGCCGTCTCCTGTCCTGGCTTCTGGGCTCTGAGTGGAAGAGACACAAGCAGATAAAAGGGCAAGTGAGGTGCTTTCACTCCACTGCCCCATTGGCTCTCCTTGGTCAGAAGATGCCTGTTTTCAAGCTTGTCATCACACCAGCATCCCTCTGCTGAAGTAAATCTGAGTAGAAAGAACTCTTAATATTTATTCCAGTTATCCAGTTCTTGGCCAGTCCTCACCCTACTTCAACTCTGCGTAGCTAACCAACCTACTCACCCACCAGTTCATCCTTCTGGCAAGGAAGTTATTGAACTTGGCTTCTAAAACACAGCTTTCCTAGGTTCTCCTTTTAACTCTAACTGCTCTTCAACTACTCTTCCTGCCTCTTAAATGTCAGTGTACACCCACCATTCTGTCCTTGGTCCTCTCCTGCTCAACACACTTTAAACTTCCAAATCTCTTTCTGGCCCCTTCTGAACTGCAGTTCTAATTGTCCACTGGACACTTCTACCTGGCAGTCTTATGACCCAAACAAAATTCATTTTCTACCACATTTCCTTTTGTCCCCCCTATATTGGTAAAGAATCTGCTAGAAACCTTGTTTGATCTTTCAATTCTTTGCTCACATTTAGATTTGTGTTTAACCAAATCTGGACACTTCTACCTCTGCCTTCACTTGAATTCCTCCTTTATTTTCCCTTCCCATTGTCAGTGTCCAGATACAGGTCATTATCGCTCATTCAGGCTTTTAAAAAGGAAAAAAATCCCCTCTGGTCTCTCTTTACAATCCATCCTTTACACAGGTGCCAGAAATTGTTATTCTAAAATATAGACCTGATGAAAAATCATTCTGGCTCAGGCAAGGGGGAGACACTGAAGGTGTTCTAAAGGATAGCGTCTAAACCTTTCACATGGCATTCAAAGCCCTGTCTGCTGGGGTTCCAGTCTACACGTCCTCGGCAGGATGCTGACTTGATTCTTCACACCCTGTGCTACAACTCCCATGGCTACTAGCTGTGTAGTTCCTCTGCAGTGTCTATTTTTTAGTGAAACCTTGGATATCTTATATGTCCCGTCTCAAAATGTCACCTATATGAAGCCTCCTTGACCATTACAGGTAGAATTCATTGTTCTGGCTTCATTGTCCTTTGTTCACTTGGCTAGTAATTGTTTATGGTTTCCGTTTCCTTAATTAAATAAGTTAGTACCTGTATAAAAGACTTAAAATAATGTCTAGTACATAGTAAGTACTCAATAAATGTTGCCATTATTCTGATTAGAACTTGAGTCTCTTGAGGGTAAGGACCTTCTCTAATACTATATACCAGTGCCTATAAAATACTGCCTGGAAAACAGAGAACTTAATAAGCATTTTGTTTACCTGAATAGCGGACACCCACTGCAGACCATGAACTGGCTCAGTAACTCTAAGGGCATATCATTATACCCTATGGGGCAGCTCTCTAGTCCATTCATTGTGCTTAGAGTCTTACTGTTAGAAGTTCTAAAAGGTGAGAGCCCACTGGCATAAATGGTTGCTGGGTGGGGTAGGCAGGCTCTCAGGTTTGGCATATGCTTCCTCGCCACAGAAGGACAGCAGGTGCTAAATGCTCTCAAACTGAATGAGCTATTAACCTCCATGCAGCTGAATTTGATGGGGTTTCCAGGATGCCAGCTGACACCTAACAAAGCAACACATGTTAGATGTGAAAAGCCTCCAACTTAGGAAATAGGCGACAACTTCATCCTGTCTAGCTATACTGAGAAGCAGCAGGCAATAACAGGGTTATTTCTGGAAGGGCCCAAACCAAATTTTAAAAAATTGATACTTACATGAATAAAGTCTAGAAGAAAAGGAAGAGATGTCAAGATGGACACTACTCCACCTTTGAGGAGTTTGCTGAGATGCTGGGTACCAATTAAGAGTCTGAAGACCACAGCCAAGAGAAAAACAACCAGACTTTATGGGGCTAGCAAGAGTTGGGACAGCGATGCCAAGACAACAGAAGTCAGATTCAAGGCCATAGTCAAATAACCTGAAACATTACCTATCACCAATGACTTAAGAGATACTGTGGAGCCCACACCTGGGTATTTCTTTGGTTAAAACAGGGATGTCACTATGATGTCCAAGTGGCAGTGCACAGTACACAGAAATAATGAACTTGATAGAGGAGGAAATAGCAAGTTTCTAGATGGTCTGAGAAATCTTCATACACAGAAGCATGCTGAAATGACATTAAGGGATGAAGCCTCACCCAACCCAATAAAGGATGAGAGAGAGCAAGCAAGAAAATGGGTGAAGGCCTTTGGGACATTTACAGGTTCTAGAAAGAAACTGCATGACACTCAAAGTAAGAAGCAAAACAGGCAAATGGTGTTAAAAGGTCAGTGTGGAAAGTACGGGTCATGGGAAAGATACAAAGGCTACAACTCAGGAATCCTGCCCCTAAAGAGTTTCAGGATAGAAGACAAGGTGTGGTTTAGCGGGCACGCCTGGTCTGAAAAGTGTAAGGCTTTTAAAGACAGCACTTCAACCAGCACTTAAAAGACTATCTTAAGATCTGTCCAGGTCTGCCTATAAACTTGACAACGTGAGCACATAGCCGTTTCTCATGTCGTGGCTTTTGGCACTCAGTGTAATCCAGGCCTGCGCGGTCCCCATTAAGACAAAAATTGGAGGGGCTCCAACTCTCTTATTTCTTGGTTCTGAGCTATAGAAATAGCAGCTTAAGGCTGAGTGCAAGGGTGATATGTGATCAGCTACTAGAGGTGGTGAGATGATGGTAATCAGCTATAGGTTCCATTTTGGGAGTGGCAGGATAGTCCTGGGGCAAAAGTCTGAAAGGAAAAGCCAAACTGACCTCACTATTGTATGAATTAGAATGGATATTCTAAGGCCTCACAATTTACAGCAGTTATGTGACTTGCTCCTAAGTCCTGCATCATCCCTCCGAAATGTCTTTGGAACTGTCTCTACATGTGGCACCTCAGATTTATTTAATCCCTGGGATGATCACAAACCTGATTTATGCCCTCTGAGGGATAGCAAAGTTACACACATATTCATGCAGCTCCCAACTTCCTGCCTTTTATTTGTTTAGCGAGTATTCGCTGATCATTTAGTAAGTGCTAGGCTAGGCACAGTGCTAGGTACAGTGCTAGGTGATAAGGGAATAAGTAGATGTGTTAGGAGACATTTCCTGCCATCAAATAAGTTTTAACCTGATATTTAACATGAAACTTGTTTGCAGTGGAAAAAGTAAAAGTGGCGATGGTGCTGGAGGCACGCTCGCTGTGTCCTTTGACTCCCTTCTCAAAGGAACCTCCAGTTACCACTGGATGAGCTCCTCTACCCAAAGCTGCCTGTTAGCTGAGCCAAGGCATCGTATAGGCCAAGGAGGGGTTCTAGTAAACCCCAGGTTTAACTGCCAGAGCTGGGAGAGATGAGAGTGGCGGAGACAGGACAACAGCTGAAGACGTTACACTTAAGTCCTTTGTCTTTTACCCCAGTATCCTGCTCGGTAGGCTGGAGGGCCAGGGTATGTTTGTTATTGAGTGAGACTGTTGCCTGAATCCAGGGCCAGGACTAGGATGAAGCGAGAGGCATATAGGGTGTACAATATAGGGAGGCCCTTTCCTGGCCTTGAGATCAAGTGCTTTTTAAATTGTGTGTCGTGGGCACCTCACTGACCTCCCCCTAGTCCTTGCCCTGTTTCCATCAATACATAACCAATAGGAGCTGGTTTACCACTCCACCCTCTTCCTAGCAGGCCCTCTGAGCTGTTTGCATCTGCTTTTGCACAGCTATCTCGCAGACTTTAGACCTCCCTCACTCCATCATTGTATTAGCTATTCCCAAGTGACCTCTCCCTCCTCCTCCACGGCTCCTGATATTGCTGTCTGCACTTCTGAGCCAGTGGACAAGAACTTGACCACAGGTCTGGGAAGGTGATGTTTTGCAGCATGGGAGAAGGAGGAAAAGAAGATCCTGGCACTATGGTCAGGGGACACTGGAAGTCAAGGCTAGCCCCCTATCCCAGGAACATTCCTCTTCACCCCAAGTTGGCTACTTGTTAACCTTTTAAAATGTCATTTTCCAGCCTCTGAGAACAGAACCTTTCAGACTAGGTCCCTGAACATCTGCCTTAAGTTTATGACTGAGCTGCCTAGATCTTTCCTGAAATTTTCTGGATAGTCCAGTCTCATGTTTTGTTCTAGCCAATAAAGGATACTCACTAATTACATAGTTAAATAATATAATTTTTATACATTAGTGGAAATTTTTATTATAAATATAAGTTCACAGGTCACAAAAATCGTTTGTTAAATCACAGTCCCAGTTTTGGGTTTGGAAAGTATAGCTGCTTTATAGTAAGAGCTTAGAGGAATGGGTGTCATGTTCCTGTCTGAGAAGACCAAGTGTGTCTAGATACGGCCGGGGCCAAAAAGCCAGATGTGTGGGAAAGGAAATGTCACAAAGCTGCAGCATAGATAGATCACACTGGACAAATAGAGAAGTAGTTCCAAGGATTGAAGATGCCAAGTCCACACACCATCTGCATCACAGGTCCCTGTCGCACCAGTCTCCCATCCTGTCTCCCATCCTGGAGTGATAGCAAGGACTTTAAATAAGAGAGACAAAGCAGCAAAAACTGCATCAAATGCCCAGGAGAACATAGGAGGCAAGAGTCCCAGGATCTGACCTTTCAGATCTTCACAGTATTCCTGATTGGTGTTATTAGTAACCTTCTTCTTGACCCCTTGACTTTAGAGACATAGCTTCTCAGTTCTTAGAAATATTTATTCAAGTTCCTGGGGTGTGTCTGTACTCAAACCAGCTCTCTTTCTGCTTCTAAGCTCATTCACCTGGGGGAACACAGCTGCTCACTTGGTTTTACCTGTACCTGTATGTGGATGACTCCTAGGTCCAACCCTAATGTCACCTTTTCTAAAGTTTGGCCCTTTTTCTGCCTGCAGGACATCTCCACATTGATAGCCCATGACATCCAAGCATGTCTGAACCAGATAAACTCATCGCTTTTTCTTCAACAGTGTCTTAATGTCACCATGACCTTTTCTTTAGCCTGTGGCCTTGAATCTCTCTTAGTCCATCTCTTCCACCATCACTGAGTCCTGCCACTTTTTTAAATAGGTATATTCGTCTCCTTTCCAGGTCCTGGTATAGGCTCTAGTCTTCTGATGCATAAACTACTCCAAGGATCCCACCTCCCTTCCCTTGCCTGATACATACAGTTCACAGACAGCTCTCTGACATAAGCCTTTTGTTCTCATCATTCTCAGGAGCCAGCTACTACACTTGCTTTTTGTTCACTCTATGCAGCGGCTCTGGTCCTGGCTATCATCCTCATCTCTGGAATGTATTTGTTAAACTATATGTCACCGCCCATTCTTCAAAACCATTTCTCAACTGAACATTTTTTGGCTCATTACTCTTGTGTTTATCTCTGACAGTGGCCTCCCCAAGGCCCCTGTATGTTTATAATGTGGGTGTGCTTTCATACTATGTTTACTGTCCTGTGTCCCCTATTAAGTTTCAAGTCAGTCAACTTTGTACTAATTATGCCTAATTTCTATTAGTTATTTGGGAAAGTAACAAAGACAATTCATGTTCCTCACTCAAGGAGCATACTACAGCACTCTGCATTGGGAATGGGAACACGGAGGATGTTTAAAACTGCCCAGAATCCTCCAGTGAGAACCTAGAAAAGGTTCTTTACTATTTCCCTTTTGTGGACAGAGAAGGAGAATTTATGATGCTGATATTCCTTCCCAGGAACTATGAGTAAAGAAGAAAAGAAGTTAGAAGAAAAACTTTATCTAGATTTCAGATGGGTAACTCAAGTATGCCAGAGCATGAAAAGACACGTTTTAATAACTCTGCCACTTAATAGCTGTGCAATCTTAGACGAGTCACCCTTACACAGTCTGTTTCCTTGTCATAAAATGGAAATGCCATCTATCCCACAGGGTCCTCGTGAGGATTAAATGTATTGTTTTGTTCACTGTTTAATGTTATTTAAATATAAGGTATTACTATTATTTTGACACTCTCCTTCAGTGTGCAAAAGTTCCTTTCCCAATAAAGACACAATTTCAGAGAATGGAGCTTGGCATATAAGCGGAAGTAACTATAATGCATGTCAGGGAACAAACGAACATCTTACTGGTCAAAGCTGGGAAGGACCATTGCTCTCTGTGGTTGCTCTAACTAGCGCAGTCCGATCACCGCAGCAGTGACCCAGTGCCTGTTTCTAGTTCGCACCAAGAGGTCTGGTGCAAGCTGAGTAGCAGGGAAGTGCTAACTAGGGTGAAAGCAGCTTGAGAACCAGCAAAACTCTTAGTTCCAGCTCACAAGCCTCCTCCATACTCTGGCAAGATTTCTGTAGCCCAGAAGCCACATACAATATTGATTTGTGGTTTAGTGTATTTCCAGAAGTGGCACTGCAACAATTTCTCCCCACCACAGTCCACATCACTCCCAGGGAATGGCTCTGTAGTCTTTTTCCTCTTCTTTTTTTCTAAAGGCCCATCTGTTTCTGGTATATATTTTGACCCAGAATCTCTTGTCTTACCAGGAAGGGTCTCATCAGGCCAAACTAGGGGTAATGATGCAAAGTTGAACAATTGTGGCTGCTGCTGGAAGGAGCTAGACTGCCTAGAACAAAAGCTGTCTAGTTCCAATTTTCTTTGGAAGAGTTGGAGTCCTGACATCACCCTCTCATAGGCTCTGAAGCCAGGAGCAGTTCAGCCCACAGGACCTTGGACAGGACTCCCCATCATTCCACAGTGCTGCAGTGTGGACCGGGAGGGCATTTCCTTATCCTGCCTCCAGTGAGACAGCCCAGCACTGTCCTTGAAGTGGAGGCTCCATGTCTCAGTGTAGCCCTGCTTTGGCTTGTTTCATCCTTAGAAACTCCCCTGCCTCCCAGCATGTGCTGAAGCACAGATTCCCAGGACTCCTGCCTATGCCACACACAATACCGCTCTGGAGCTTGTGTGCAGGGAACACCGAGGTCGCAGGAGAGGCTACAGACTCTGCTATAAACTAATTTTATTGATTCACCTCTTGGTCCCAGGCAAAGTGTGTATCTTCAAGCTCTCACTTCCCCCAGCAATGCCCCAAACAACTGAACACCTGTTGCAGGGGCTCCCAGACTAGCTTACCTCTCACGGGGCCCAGCACCCGGTGGCTGACCTTTTGGGTGCTAGAGCCCAGGCCTGGCAGCCCTGCAGGCCGACTGCCATGAAAAGGAAAGCTGGGGGAGTTCTTCATCTGTGGAGAATTTTGTTGGCTGCTGCTGCTACCGCCAGCACTTGTGCCAGTGCTAAAACTTCGTGTGCGGCTCAAGGTATTTTCAGAGCAGGAAACAGGTAAGCCACTGCAAAGAAGCAGATGCCAGTTAACCCTGGGCCAGGGAGGTTGTGTCTCAAGTCTCTCTGCATGGTCTGATGCTCAGTAAAGCTTCACCTCTGGGGTGAAAAGGAACAGGGACTTATTCCAAGGAAGAGGAATCCTTGTCGATCAATAAGGTATCTAAGCTGGGCATACCAGCTGATCTCAGAAAGCCTAGGTGCCCTTGTTCACACATACATGCTCCAGCAAAAAATACACTAAGAGCCATAACGGCTGTCCCTGGGCAGCTTTAACTCCCAGTGAATTCCCCCTTAGTGCCTTGGTGCTGACCTTTGGACCCCTCTTGTAACTCATTCACAACCACTGGGAGGGAGCTGAGTCCTGCCCCTACCCCAATTATATTTGATTTTGAGCAGGGCTCTGAAGCAAGGAGTCCCCTAGCCTGGCTTTGAAATATCTAGGAAGTCTGAAACTCCAGGTAAAAGGGAAGAGAATCCCATTCTCAAAAAATGCGCTAATCTTCCGAATTTTAATTTTCCCTGAAAATATTCACCATTTAGTCCTTTTGGAAGTAGGGGAGGAACACAGATCTCACAAATCCTCACTCTACAGCCTTGTTCCACTTTCATACCCTTTCTCCCTTCCACCCTGCTGGTCTTACTTGTTACTTTTGGGTGGAGTTCGAGAGCCTTTCTTCTTGTTGACACCCACGTTCACAGTGCTGCTCAGGCCTCGGCTGCTACGCACATGTTTTAGCATCCAGGCCCGGAGGTTTGTGAGGCTGCTGTGCTCTGACAACACGATTCTGGGCCATGGATTGCATTCTGCCATGTCCAGAGCTGCAATGGCCATAGCTCGTCCCACCTGTGGGGTAGTCCAATTTGGCTTAGTGTCTTGGTCTTTCAACCCAGGCTGCTGTGTTGAGGTGGAAGGGAAGGAAAGGCCAGACCTCAAGTTTGTTCAGTGGGTACCTTAACCTTTGTGCACGGGTTGTTTATCCCAAGTAGATTTAGAGCTATTCCCTAAACTATTGTTCATTTGGAGGCCCTCACCCATTATGAGCTGGAGCAAGCGTGCTTTCTGGCTGGCAGCAGGAAGGAGTTCTCCCAGCAAGAGGAGTTGTTTGGATCTCTTCTATAACCCACAGCTCTCCTACTCTTGTGTGTGCCGTAGAACACTGGGGATCATCAAGACCACTGTAGAGGGGGTACTTTTAGCCTAAGAATGAACTAACCCAATAGAAAGAGGAAGACAAGCTCAGAGGCAAAGATTCTGACTCAGATGTGCTGGGAGATTCTCTGTGGCAGGCAGTCAGAAATAGGGCCCAGTCATCCTTTCAGTACTATTAGTCAGAGGCCTGTCCCCATCGACTGAGGAAAATAACCAGCGGTGAGATGGCAATAACGGTGAGCCTCTTTTCAGAACCTAGGGTCAGGCAGCAGGAGCGAAGTCTTTTCCAGACTTTGAGGTTCCCCCTTTCCCCACTTATCCCATGTATTCATACCTGCTCAAACAGTTCCACAGTGTATCTGGAGGGGAAAGCCGGTGGGGGAGGAGGGCTGGCACGCCCGTTGTCATGGCAGGCAGCAGGGATGCTGTTTACTGAGCGTCCAGTGTTGTAGTTGCATTCAAGTGTGTAACTAAGACACAGAGACTTTTATCAGTGTCCTGCCTGGACAGAATCAGGACAAAACCATGGGGGGCAGCCTATGTGGTCTAAGAAAGTAATCACTTGTAAAAAAATGAACACGAAGAGAAAGTCCTAATCCCCAGCAACTACCGTCGGCATCGTATCACATACCCAAGAAGTCTCAAAAGGTAGAGTCCCAGACTGAAGAGAATAATGCTAATTGTGAGCCTGCCTTTCGAGAAGACTTGGGCCGTCCCCTGCCTCTAAACCCTCTAGACCGGGTATTGCTTTCTTTAGGGAAGTTATTTCATCAACCGTATCCCAGATTCCACCCAACCTGTGGATTATCCCTGAGGCTTTGTAGATTGCAACCCGGCCGCTTCCCTCCTTAGACTGGCCATCTCTGCGGTCTCGGGCATACATGTTTTTCTCTGAGAAATTGCAGCCCTGGAAGTCGAAGTGGGCTGAGTTCAAGGAGATGAGCTTTGGATACAGCATATTTTCTACCTGTTCAGGGGAGGAAAAAGGCAACTCAGGAGAGATAGAGAAGGGTCAAGGGCAAGGAAGAGATGGCAAGCATAGGGCCATGTGACTTAATAATGGCAGATACCTTCACAACCATCAGCACTAGTCAGTGTTTCTTGAATTCTCAGGGAATGTTTGACGTTATTTCCAGGTGTTAGAAAGGTACAGTCCTACCTCTTTTTAAGTTCTTAGCTTCTCTCCAATGCAAAATTGTCCTTCTTCCCTGGTTTCCCAAATTCTAGAAAACACTATGATGCCAACGGCTTGACCCTCTTTCAGAGGTCATAATGTAATGACTGAGACATAAGGCCCCCTGCCATCCCTTCTTGGCTCTCTGAAGCTTGTTCGGAAGTAGTGCACCTTTTCCAGCCACAGGCCTTCCTGCCAGAACGTCACCTTCCCTCTTGTTCATGCCCTAACCTTTATTTCCTAACCTGCAACACTTCCCACACTCACGTGACATTCTGTAGATTCCTACCTGGGTGTTCTCATCACTAAAGCTGTTTCCATACATGAAGCAGCCCCTCTTGGAGGCATGTCCGTGCAGGTCCACATAGTAAGCGACACCACTCTCTTTGGGGGGGATGGTGTCGGGGGCTGGCTGCTCAGCCTCGGCGGACTGTTGTGGCGCAATCCACACACCGCTGGGCTTCTGTTCTGCTGGTTCAGTCTGTGTCCAGGTCTCAGGGTTCTCCCTGTTAGATGAGTGCCCGAGGTGAGCTTCGTTATGGAGATTGTTGGCTTTCTCAAGGTCAGAAAGGGAAACATCAGGAGAGAGATGAGGACTGTGCTGGTGCTCAGAGGGGCTCTGGGAGTTCAGACGGGAGTGCACGTGGTGGTAGAGAAGCACAGCTTTCGCCCCGTAGATGGCCGGGTGCAGGACCGCATCAGGCTTCAGGTACTGACGGTTCAGATTCACTCCACGTGAGTCTGTGCTG